GTTTTTCAAAATGGCAAAAAGAATGCATTTTCAAAAATTTCAAAACGGACACTAAAAACACAAAACATAAGACGAATTTGAAACTTAAAATACAAAGCTGAAACACAAAGAGAACGACCCTTTAATTTTCCAAGAAACTCAGGAATGACGAGAATTAAACCAACAGTCAAATGTGTACATTGGTGAACCGGACTTATTATTGTTTCAACTAAACATACACACCAAGAGATGGTCAATAGGCATTGCACCCATGACTTTCGTAGCGTCAAAGCTACTTCTAACAACATATTGTTTCGATTCAACACACACACACTGAAAGATGATCATAGGTATTGAACTCAAACGGGGCTGAATTAAGAATAATAAGCGCCCATTTAGCATATTTTTGTAAAGTCAAATGCTACTTCTAATATAAGGAAGTAGCCTTTGAACTTGTTTGGAACTTGGATAAGTGACTTCCTCAAATACATCCACAAAAAAGCAAAAGCAAAAAACCTGCCATACAAGATAATCCATCAGCTCAAATAAAAGTTAAGGAACGAGATGCTGGCCAGACTCCTTGAAAGTGAAGCAAAAAGGCAAGCAATTGAAAAAATAACATTCAGTAACATAACTAGGAAATTGGAAGACGTTCTTTAGTTGTAGAGACAATCAACCTAATAAATAATTACTAAGATTATCATCAGACAGGACCAAAAATTAAAAGTCTTCACCAGAGGAATCATTTTAAAGGTTTCTACAGATCATTTGTAGGTAGATCAGAAGGTATGCTATTTCTCTCCCCAAAAAAAATCAAAGTCAAAACAAGTCTACAAGCTAATGCTCAAAAAGACCAAAGACCAAACCCAATAAACGTACAAAAAATATTGGAATAGAACATGTTCAGTCTTCCAATATCGTTCATAATAAAGTTGTGACAGCATATCTCAAATACTAGGGAAACTAACGCTTGCCACCACCACCTCCAAGCTTAGGACCCTTGGGTATAGCACCCTTGGGCACATTGCTCTTGGAGGCCTTCTGTGACTTAGATGTCAACTCTGCCTTCTTTGCCTTCTTCTCATCCTTGGTCTTCTTATTTCTCTCCTTGATCTCACTGAGAACAAATAATAAGAGTCATAATGTTTTCTATTAAAAGTGTGTTCGAAGTTCAAGTCAGTCAAACCTCTTACCGATGAAACTTGCTTTTCTAAAAAGCAAGTCTTACTTTACAAAAGTGTAACTTATAAGCACAGCAAAACATGCTCTACATCTTGCTGAAAGCATACTCAACACTTCTATATTCATGAAAACATCAAAACATTTGAACCCTTAACATACCGTAAAGCAGCTTCGCGTGCAGCATCACGAACTTCTGGCTTTTCAGCTCTTTTCTTCTGTATGACTTCCAAGGTTACACCAACAATTGATCTAGAGTAGGGTTTCTTTGTGGTTCGGCGCCTCTTCCTCACAGTTTCAGCAGCAATGTCCTACAGATCAGTCACAAGAACCATGAGTGACAGCTAGCTTATGAAGGGAGCTATTTCATCCAAGAAACAAAAGAAAGATAATTAAAAGGAATTATCAACTATATTTCACCTTCTTATGTTGTTTCCGGTACACAGCAGTCCATGTAAGCTTTGCAGGCCTCAGGCGGTTGTGGAAATACCTCTTGCATTTTGAGTTGGCAAAAAGGAAGACCTTCAATAGGTGAAAAGAAAAATCATCTTCATTCCCCAAAAATAACACAAACAAGAATCTTGGGTAAAAAGTGAAAACTGAATATCCACCTTCACAAAATGACATAAATGAAGTAGGAAAATGTAAAATGTGTAGAATTAGCAAAAAAAGTGTAACTTTACGAGTTAAGAAAACTAGGAAAAAGGTAATAATGTGACAGATACAATACTACAAGCAACAATGTCTTGACCCACCTGGGAGTCGGAGCGAATAAATCTGATGCCCTTCCCTGGGTATATCTTGGCACCACTAAAGCGGCAAAGCTCTGTCCTGATAACCCATAAATAACAAGAGTCAAACAAAAGTAAATTAACTCTAAAATCAAACATAAAATTTAAATTGAGTAGGGATGGCAACGGGTCGGCCATTCCCACCCCGTCCCGTCGGGTATTTTTGTTACATTGTCTCATCCTCATACCCGGTTAAAGCAGGACGGGAGCAAGGCATTATCGCCTCATTTATTTATTTATTTATTATTTTTTATGTCTTTAGTTAATAAATATTATTACTTTTTTACTAATTTGTTAAAATCAACTTATGTTCTCCTTAAAAATGATGATAAATCTATTATTTTTGTTTGATAGAAAATTCAAATTCGAAATTAACTTTAAAAGGGGTGGGTATCAGGATGGGGACTATGTTTCCGGTACCCACTCCGGGGTAATGACCCTCGCCTTGTTCCCATCCCGTTCACCCAATTATCTGCCTCATTCGAGGCGGGGTCCCTACAGGTATCGAGTTGAACATGTTTTTTTGCCTTCCCTAAAATTGAGTAGAAGCAAAACTTATCCAAAGCAAGCCAGAATTTATATTGCATCACAAGAAAAATGAGGTGCGGGATCACCACAGACACCGCATGAACTCTTTGATAGACATCAAATAAACGTCTAAATAAGGCTATGCGAACTATATTTATCTATTTGATAGCATCTTCTAAATTTCAATGTTAAACAAAAGAATTCCAGATTGGAGCATATTTTAAAACGCCGTATGCTACTGTCAAGCTAACTTAAGATATTAAAATCCCCCAATAAATCTAAAATATACTACATTAACAATCCATCATTTTAAAATGGTTGTGCTACCTCTTAAAATTCCAATGTTTCCTCCATCTGATAAATATTTTACACTCAACCTTGACATGAAATTTCTAACCACACCACTGCCATTTCTATCCAAAAGTACTAAACAGCAGAAAAAAGTAAAGTAGTAAAACCGATCCTTAAATGCGGTACACGAAATACACTCTAGATCTCTAAATTAAATTTTGGATTACGCATCTCATTAGAGAGAGAGGTGGAGAGGAACTCACTTGAGAACCATCGTTACTGTTGCCGAGCTCGACGCGATTCGTTTACTCCTGGAAATGCAGAAACCCTATTCCCGGTGAGCAATATATATTAAAAGGCCACAATGCGTAGGTTTAGGTTTCGACCTTCCATTCATGGGCTCATACAGCCCATAACTATTGGATGGCTCAGTTAGTATTTACTAAGGGAAAAATTTACAGCTCAGATATTATCTATTTCAAAATTAAAAGTCAGGTCCCAAAATTTAAAATTGTA